CATACGGAACGGTCTTTTCAAACTTTGAGCAGTTGTTTTTCTTCCATTATGTGTTACAAGGCATTTTTCAGTGTTTAAACCGTCGGGTTGCATGGCTTTCTAAATTTCCCACAAAATCATAAAACCATCTCTAAATATTACAAGTAAGAGTCAAGGGTACTTGAAAAACGACATCTCCTCGGAACTTAAATTATAAACGAAAATTAACAGAATGAGAAAGTAAGAGTACCTTTTACTTTCAACTGTTGGCTGAGGAAGTATAGACATAACAACCCTATCAGCTAAAACTTCAGTTGGATGTCCTAAATAAGATGGTCAATCAAGTTTGATATATCAGTAATGTAATACATGATACCACAAAGTAAACTTCAAGAATTCTCAGAATGACAGCAACAGAACTAACACATGAACAATATACCATGTAATCAGGGATAGTATTGAGGTCACAGAGCTTTATGTTTTTCAAATAAACGGTCAACTCTGAAGTTTGGCATCCTTTATTCATTTAAGAGGATTTTGTAGTCAAGGAGCATAATGATGTCACTGTCATCAAGCCTAGACTAGAGAGTAAACAAGAACGTCCCAAAGGTGTAAGGCTTGAGCCTTGTCAAGTTTATTTGTTAAAAGATTACGATGCACGATAATGCTTAACACACTTCAAATCTTAAGCTGATATGTACATCTACTTACCGTGAGAAGCTGAGAAAGGTATAGTGTATTTCATTTGCATAACATGACGTACTTCTTGTTCAATCTTAAAACCCTTGATGTTGCCATCAGAGTCTCCAACATACCTACAAATTCAGAAATTAAATCGATATGAAAAATTCAATTGTCGCATGTGCTCTCTTGAAAGTTGAAAAAACCTATAGTAGAGCAAAGAACCGAAGTTAGACTTGCATGTAGGGACCAGTTTGCATAACTGCAAAAGAAGTAATCTCTTCTTTAAAGACATATACATGAGACAAGAGCCTCTTTTCCGAGTCCCAAACCTACATTACAATTTCCATAAAAAAATAATTCCCATATGAAAGAGAGAAAATAAGACATATTTATAGGTAAAGTATAGAGCAAGAAGACATATTTGTTTCTAAAAGTAGACATATATATAGAAACTACTTTTACAAACAAATAATATAAAAATACAATGTCCTAAATTTTATTTTTAATAATTTTTTCTTAGAAAGCAAAGATAGAGAAAAACATAAAAAGAGAAACCAAACCAGGCATACATGAAAATGAATTGGTCACATGTAGAACCGACAAACCTTTGCAAATGAAATAACGGTTTAAAACAACACTAACATGTAATCAGAAAAGAAAACCTAAAATGTTAGCAGTTTATTAGATTTAGGAAAAAAAACAAAATCCCAAATATATAATCAGAAAATAAATCAAATTTTTAAAAAACCCAAAAAAATCAAGAAACATGGCCGCATCTACATTCATCACAATGTATTTGGGATTTTGCTAAAACCAAACTTTTCCCCCGTACAATAGATAAAACCAAAAAACGAGAAAAAAGCAAAACCAAACCAAAACTCTCTATATTAGCCAATTTCAGACTTTGCTAAAACGTCTGCCTCTAAGTTTGCTAGCCTAGCTATCCAACGAATAACGCCCTCCAAGTTCCTTATCTTATCCGCAATTTCTTAATCCACTCCAGAGACAACTTACTATCTCTCTCAATAATCAACCGTCTCTTAGAGCACCAGCTAGAAGATTCAAAGAAAATTAAACCATGTTTAATGGCCATAAATTCCATTAAAGAAGGACCCGGACCAGCAGCTTCTTGAAAAGATACTAACACTGTGCCAGACTCGTCTCTTAGAATCCCTCCTAAATCGCAAGCCTTCCAATCACCATTAATAGCAGCATCCACGTTCAGCTTTAGAAATCCCGTAGGGGGATGGGACCAGAAAATCTGATTTACAATCAGACTTTTTTGAAATCCCATGAGCTCCATCACAAAAACATATACCATTAATTTCAAAATTCTAAGTGACATTCACCCCGTCATATGAATTCACTGAACTTCTCTTATCAATCCAAACCATATATAACATGATAATATATTTCATTCGAATTCTAATCAGATCCGAATGTAAGAATATTATATATACAAATAATTCAAATGCATCACATAAATTCTGAGTACAATATATATACATATTTACACAACGTTTTTTGAGCAAAATACCAGACAACTAATAATCGTAAAACAATAAATCTCGCAATAAACAAAGAAAATGACACCCAATAAAAAAACTCATAAACCAAATATAACACCCTATAGGGACACACCTTGACAAAATCAAACAACGATAATCATATTCCAAATATTATACAAATACTCATAGACCCATACACCTTACAGACCATTCAAAGTGGGGCTTGACACAAAGGAAAAGGCCATTGAATTTGAAGTGACATTCACTATGTCGAGTGAATACATTGAACTATCAATCAAGACTCAATATAACATGATAACATATTTCACTCGAACACTAATCTGATCCAAATGTAAAAAAATTAAATATAAAATAATTCAAATGCATTGCATAAATTCCAAGTCCGATATATCAACATATTTCACACAACATTTTCTGAACAAAATATCAGATAATCATTAATCGTAAAATATTCATGCGCGCAATAAATAAAGAAAATTTTAATTAATCAGCTAACTCACAAACAAAATATAACACCCTATAAATACACACCTTGACAAAATATTCTAACAGCGACCAACAATTCTCAATCTTTAAAGTGCAAAATCACAATTCACATCATAACCCGAAACAACAATAAAAAACATATTCCAAATTAAACATTAATAATCAGAGTCTGAATACTACGCAAACGATCATGCACATATACAACTTATTGTTCGAAGAGTAAAGTCCGAGAACCACTCTAATTATAACACACCATCCGAAGTGTGGTCCCCCAAAATGGCATATGCCCCTGAATCTGAAGTTACATTCACCCTATAGAGTGAATACACTAAAACTTCTGTATCAACCCCAACCCAATATAAATTGATAACATATTTCATCTAAATGGAAGAATATTACATATACAAATAATACAAATGCACCGCAAAAATTCTATGTCTGAAATATAAAAAGATTTCACATAACATTTTCCAAACAAAAAAAAACAATCATGCTCATAATAAAAAAAAATGTCAGTCAATTACATAACTCAGAAACAAAATACAACACCCTAGAGAGATACACCATGAGAAAATATTATAACAACGACCAACGATTTGCACAATATCTTTAAATAGCATAAAATCAAAATTCATATCATAGTCCATATCAACCAATAATAATCGTAATCCAAATCAAACATTAATCAGTCCTAATATTATGCAAATGATCATGCACCCATACGACTTACGCATCGTTCGAAGAGAAAGTTTTCAGAACCACTCTAACTCCAATAGACCATCCGAAGTAGGATTCGCTACAAAAGTATAAAACCCTGAATTCGAAGTGAATTTCACCCCATCGAATAAATACACGAAACTTCTCCTATCAATCTCAACCCAATAAAACATTATAACAAATTTCATCTGAGTGTAAGCATATTACCTATACAAATAATCTGAATACATCACATAAATTCTAAGTCTGATATATCAATTATTTCACGTAGCATTTTTTGAACAAAATACCAAACAACAAATAATCGCAAAACAATCATGATCGTAATAAAAAGTGAAAATGTAAGTCAATCAGAAACCTCACAAACAAAGTATAACATCCTATAGTGACACCTTAACAAAAAGATTCACACGATGTCTTTAAAGTGCATAAAGTCACAATTCACATCATAGATCGAATCAAACAATGATAATCACAGTCTGTATATTATGTAAATGATAATGCACCCATACACCTTACACACCGTCCGAAACGTATGTTCCATACAACCACTAACTACAACACACCATCCGAAGTAGGGTCTGCCACAAAGACAAAGGCCACTTAATTCGAAGTGACATTCAACACATCAAGTGAATACACTAAACTTCCCCTATCAATCCAAACCCAATATAACATGATAAAATATTTCATTCGAATTTTGATCTACTCCGAATGCAAAATATTACATATACAAATAATCTAAATGCATCGCATAAATTCTAAATCTGATATATCAACATATTTCACATAACACTTTTCAAACAACAAATAATAATAATAATAATAATCTAAAACAAGCAATAATAATCATTGTTCGAATGTTATGCAAATAATCATGCACCCTTCCACCTTACAAATCATCCAAATTTGGGTCTGCCCCAAAGGCAGAGGCCACTGAATCCAAAGTGACATCCTTATATAACTTGACAACATATATCATCAGAATTCTAATTTTATCCGAATGAATAAATATTACATATAAATAATCCAAATGCATTGCCTAATTTCTAAGTTCGATATATCAACATTTCACAAGACATTTTCCAAACAAAATACCATACAATCAATAATCTCAAAACAACTATGTTCACAATAAACAAAGAAAATGTCAATCAATCAGATAACTAACAAAAAAAATATTGCACCGTACAGAGAGACACATTAAATCAAACATTATACAAATCACATTTTAATTCACATCATCTAGCACATCGTGTCTTTAAAATCTATAAAGTCACAATTCACATCATAATCTGAATCAAACAATGATAATCATTATCCAAATCTAACATTAATAATATGAGTTTGAATTATATAATTTAATTTAAGAATATATTATCCAAATCAAACAATGATAATTTAAATTAATTTTATTTAAGAATATATTAATATAATTTAAATTAATATATTCTTATGATACTTTATAATTTATAATTTAAATATTATTATTATTATATTAATAAATTATATAAATAATTTTATTTAAGAATAAAATAATCAGAGTTTGAAAACCAATCAGTAAGGGAAACAAATCAAATCATTATAAGAAACATACCATTGTTCCCTTGTTTCTAGTATATCTCTAATTTGAAACATCTTCACTGCTCAAGACAAGTTGACCGCGTACGAATTGGAGCTTCTAAGATGCAAAAGGAATTTAGTAAGTAAAATTTCTAAGCTACTTTTCCAAACTTATACAATTAAAACAGTCGAAGAACTATGTGGCCCATCATAATACATTTGAAAAAGCTATACCTTGTGCAGGTCTGAGTTTTAAGCCTCTGCTACAAATGCTAGTTTTTGCTTTAACTGGACAGACAACAATTTCTCATTGTGGAGGGGTGATTCTAGTTCTTCTTTCTCTTCCTTGAGCATTGCTAGAGTGTGCTCGTCAGTCTCCTCACCTTTGGATTTCTGCATGCACTCAATACTTAAGTGAAAGAAATAAACCAAATGATACAGAAAATGTGAATCTGAACACATTAAATCTTCAATGGCAGATATATAAAACAGAAGCATTCAAGACATACTCAGAGTATGTGTTTTGTATCAGAGGATTTCAAGTTCAACCATAGATTTTCAATTAAGCTTAAATTTAATTGATTTTGAATACAGATTTCGAGTCTCGAGTGTTCTCCTTGCATGGGTTAGGCAATGAACTACATTTACTGTCCCATACTTGACAGTAATGCATAACTATTTTCACTTAAAAAATAATGCTAAACCATTGAAACATAAGAAAGTTTCGAACTTCAAATTTGGCCATTAATGCAACTATTAGATATAGGTTCACATCACTATCTCAGAAAGAATCTTAGTCAATATAGTCTATGATTTCATGCAAATGCATAACTAAACTTTTTTTTATAAGAAAGGGAGGCCTCATTAAAACCCACTTCATATCCATTGAAATACAAGAAGGTATCTCAATAAACATAGAAGGAAAAGAGTGTCTCAAATGTATAACTAAACTAAAGACTAATTTATACAATTCAATCTATTTATGTAACAATAGAACTAGAAGCTCAACAGGAAAGAGAAATTATTTAGTAAGAAGTAAGTCTGTAACGTATCCCGGTGGTGGATCAAAGCTGAGCTTTGACCCTCGTCGCCTACTTGCGGTGAGGGGGTGTTTTGTACATTCTAGTTATACCTGACGTCCATTACGTCCATAGGATTATAGAAGAAAAAGACATCATTTTTCGGCTATAGATCTTCTCCATTTCTAGGTTTCTAGAAATATCGTTAAATGATACTAACATTTACGATAAACTATTTACTTAATCAGACATTGTTGACAAAAGTTTTTCTCTTATGAAAGAACATTTGAAAGGATATTTCTGGTGATAATAGAACCATACATTGTTTGAAACTTAGATTGCTGCAAACAAAATTCCGTTAACACAAATAAAAAATCTAACAAAAGAGGGTTCAATTATAACTCACCATTTGTTGAAGAAGATTTTGCACCTATAAAAATCAAAGAAATCGTTATCAAACACATAGAGGAAATTAGCAAACCAAAGAAACTTATTACTGTTTTACATCCATTAGAGAGTATTATCCGACAAGGACAATCTTAACAGTTCAAAATGAATCAAAATCGACAGTGATTATGCCACCATGGTAGTAGCATAAACATCATACTTTAAAAGCATTTTTTTTATAGAAGTTGGAGGTCTCATTAAAAACTCCCTTCGTATTCGTTCACATACTAAGAAGTATGTTAACGAACATTGGAAGGAAGAAAAAAGTACCTCAAAGTTTATTAATAATAATACCCAATACAAAAGATAACACGAAATATCCTCCTATGGTGATATTCACCATTACAACAAACACCTTAAGCTCATAAAACCTCATCCAAAGTCACAATCGAATCACCTTATTTCTAAATACCTCCAGCAATAGAATTAAAACAACGCAACAGAACATAATACAAAAGGGACGCAACACCTGCAACCATATAAACTAAATCAAAACACAATTAGAGAGACAAGATCTAATGAGATTCGTCTTCTTCAGGAGTCCAAGAGTTTAGCTTGAATGAAGGATCTATCTCATGCACCATGATCTTGAAGGAGTTGTCACCAACCTTCAATTCCAACGTCGCATCAATTCTCGTACCAGCCTTTGCGAGGACTTGAATTTTTAGCCGATCAAAGGATGATGGTGACTGACAGCTTTCATCGATTGCTAGTAACTGACCCCAACAATCAGCAATGTTCTTGAAAGTATCCCAATTCCATACGTGAAACGGAACACCCTCGCAAACTAACCATACTCGGTGACACTCCATTACCAAACTCTCTGACCAAGCTTCGACTATGGAGAACCACTCTGCGAGAGTCTTTGATTTATCGTTCTCAACACTTCTCAATGAAGCAAAGTCTTCGAAAATCATTAATACTGCATTACCAGCAGCTCTCATTAAGGAGAAGCCAGTGAGGCCCTTTGCATGCATTTGTCTAGCAAGATGACCGATTTTGATAAATTCTTTGCACCATCCCACTAGACAATTGCTCAACACCTAAAGTTTTTCTTCATCTATAACACCTTCAGCTTTATAAAGATTCTTCCTCGAATCATCTCCCATCTCGGACTTACGAAAAACACCTGTCGAGGACTTTCTCCAATAGGAATGTCGAGGTTTGAATTTAGCGAAAGAAACTCCAATTTTGTTACCGTTGATATGATAGCCATTCATTTTTGAGATCGCTCTCCTTGCTTCTTCGATTGATGCGAAGCGAATGAAACCAAAGCGAACTCCTTTTGAATTTCTTTTATTTGGAATAAAAGCATCAAGTACTCAACCGTGAGAGCAAAATAAAGATCCAAACCTCTTCTAATGGATCTTCTCTGGTAAATTCTCAATAAATAACATGTAACATCCAGACTTGTCATTACTGCACCCCTTTGTGGTGGACTCCCCGATTCCCTCATGGACACCATCTACTGCAGACTTTTTAACGCAACACCCAGTTTTAACAGGCACATGAGTACTAGGAGATCCTACAGAAGCTGGATTTGGCAATGACAATACTGGATGAACAGGAAAACGTCCATTGTCAAAAGCATCAGAATCAGAAACTAATCCTCTTTTAACAACAAGATTCTTCCTTGCCATCTCAATGTGCAAAAGAGACTTCAACTTAGCATCAAAAACCATTTTCTGAAGGACATCCTTGGCAGCAACCTCAAAATTTTCATTTGAGAAGAGAGCGAAACCCTTAGGCTTTTCTCCCTTGAAGTTCAATTGCGAATCTTCATAACCTGGAAGCCATCTAAGTAGATTCTGCAGCTCTCTCTCTTTGACGTCTTCAGGCAGACCCATAATGAAGATAGTACGAACCTCGTCACGATTAGAAGAGTGAGATGGCAGAGAAGATGCAGCTGCAGAGGGTGTATGAGCATGGACCGAAGGTCTCTGCTGGAGAGAACAGTGGATTCTAGCACCCGACATGTGATGAAAGACTGATGAAGTAAAAAACCCAGATACTTGACGAACTAATCTGGAAAAAAAAATTCCTAGAATAAGAGCTCAGAGTTGAATCGGCAGTGTCGGAGGAAATCCACCAATAAATGAGTCTGAAGACTGGGACAGCAGAGGAGAAAAGCAGAAGGTTTAGAGCAGTGAACGTCTGTTCTTGCTGAAACTGCTCACTGCAAAACTGCTCACTGCGTCTGTTCTACCGGCGAAGTAAACTGAAGTCTACGTATCACCCCTAGATATAAAATTCCCAGAACAAGAGCTCAAAGCTAAATGGGCAGTGTCGGAGGAAATCCACCAATAGATGAGTCTGAAGACTGGGTTGGCAGAGGAGAAAAGCAGAAGGTTTGGAGTAGTGAGTCTGTTCTTGCTGAAACTGCTCACTACAAAATCATGGAGAGATGCAACTATTCTCGACACTAAGAAAATGGGTTATGGTCGCAGAAAGGCTCTGAGTACAGAGGAGATGCAATGTCCGGTGTACGTTCAACGGATGGAGATGAAAACAGCCGTGAGCGGCGTTTAGATCTACAACGAATAAGAGTCTTAATCGGAAAACCAAACCCAGAAAAGGAAACACCTTGTGCTGGCGATCTTCCCAGGAAAAACGACTTCAAAACGGTGGTCGGAGTGTGGAGGATGACGGTTGACGACGGCGGCGGCGGGTGGCGGACGAAGGCGGCGGACGACTGGTGGTTGTCGGTGTAAAGACGCCTGGGCACGTGAAAATTTGAATTTTGAAAACGCCTAGGTTTTAAAAGTAGTTCTTTAATCTTAGAAAGAAAAGGTTAGGAACTCACACAAACAGTAAAATCAACAGTACTTTGCTTTGACTTGCCCGAATTATAACCATCCTGAAAAAAGTGTAACAGTCAGCTTTCAAATTACATATCATTAGTCGATCAAATCCTCAACTACCTAGAAACTTTACTCCTCTAACGAAATTTACACAAACAATCAAGTTTTTACGAATTTGGGCAGAAACTGCATAGGAACTATGAAAAATATCAAAAAGAACAAGCAATTGCATGCCATTAATTAAGGTTTCAATCTAAAAGGTACATTAAGACTGATAACAAAGCCCATATATTAAGCCCCCAATGCCAGCATTTCAAGCACAAACAATTTTAATCCCCAAAAAACAAATATATAATAATTTATAGTTTATAATTTATAGTTTAAATATTAATATTATGATTTTGATAAATTATACAAATAATTTAATTTCATTTAAGAATAAATTAATAAATCAAAGTTTGAAAACCATTCAATAAGGAAAACAAATCACAACACTATAAGCAATGTACGGAAAATGCTTTATAAAAATATTTTAAATAATATTAGAATAATCTAAATTAATTTAATTTAAGAATATATTAATATAATTTTATAGAATATGATTGGAAATGTCAGCTTCAAAATATGTGATTTTGTTGATTTATAGCTTATTTGAAACGCAAAAACATTAGTACTTCCTTACTAGTAGAAGTAACATTTTACCTGGCTTGTACATGCAACAAAATTGCCACTTAGATTCCATGGAGTTATCTGCAGCTCCAATTCAATGTTTGATGCAGTAGCAAAAGTTGACTCATAGCACTGATTAGAGTTGTTAGTTGTGTGATTCCTAAATGTTTAAGTTGGTACATACCAACTTGCATGCTTTCATAGGCACACACCTGTACAAGATTGAGAAAAGAAAAAATCAAGATAGATGAAATATGTGTAAACACATGCATTTCTAACCTCATAGTCTTTATATATTTTCTCTAAATATTACACATATCAAGGATCATGATAAGATAGAAACAAAGCATCTTGTTTTTCATTTCTTTTGTCTAATATATGAAGCAAAAGCATATTCATTTCATATATGCAGAATAAATAAATAAATAAATAAAGGGATAGAAATAAAAAATGGTACTTAACAATCTAGCCCTTTGTATTACCACCCAAACTTTCCTTCCAAGAATGGTACTCCGGCATGGAATAATATGGTATCTCTTCCTTCATATTGTTGACCATGTGAGAAGCCTGTGCAAAAAAAAAAGAGCATAAACAACAAGAAAGCTTGCTGCAAAATATTGAACATGTAAATTCTCGCCAGTAATACCTTCACAATAGGAGTTATAAACTTAACCATGAATGATTTTACTTTCAACATTGATGGTCAAAAGGAGTGAATAAAACTGATCACCAAACCCTGGATATAATTTAAATTAGTATATTCTTATAATATTTTATAATCTATAGTTTAAATATTATTATTATATTTATAAATTATACAAATAAATTAATTTAAGAATAAATTAATAAAATTATACCTTGTACTTGTCTTTGTTAAGCCTCTGCATATGCTAGTTCTTGCTTTAGCTGGACAGACAACCATTTCTCATTGTGAAGTGGTGATTCTAGTCCTTCTTTCTCTGCCTTAAGCATTGCTAGAGTGTGCTCACCAGTCTCCTCACCTTTGGATTTCTGCATTAAATCTTCAATATCAGATATATTATTTCATGCAGCCCCACCCCTGGCAATGCAGGAGGGTAGGGGTGCAAGAAAGAAGTCAATCAATATAATAAAAAGAGGGTATTGTTGCTTACTTGAGAACAAGAATTCCATGCCTTAAAGATCTTTCTAGTTAGAACCATTGGCTCAAGTAAGAAAGAAATATCAACTACCGTTGAGCAAAATAAAATCTCCATCTGTAAACAAATCATCCATATTCATAAAAATTGCCACTACTTCATTTGCTTATTTATTCCAAGTTTCAAACAAAAAAGAAAGAGAATTTTTAAGGCTAAACCTGTGTTGTTCCTGGATTCAAGGATAGTTACCTTTGTAGATTTAAACATAAATTGGACAAGACAATTAAGGTAAACCAGTGAACCCTTGGTTAGTCCATGAGAACACCAGATAGTTTCACATGTCTTCCATGGATACACCATTTGTTTCATAGTAAACCCTTGAAGCTGTATCAATATCAGTTAAACAAACCCTTGTATAAAAGTAAAATATCATCCATATTTGAAACGTTTCAAAGATTTTAAGTCAAGAAAAAACCAAAATTAAAAGGAACAAAATATGAGAAATTATGAAAAACAAACTTGAATTGAAAGCCTATTATAAACATATTCATGCAACAAAAAAATAACACATCGATTGTCACATTAAAAAAATAATTTGAATAAAAAAAGACAGAGTTAACTGAAGAAAGCAAATTGAATCACTAGACCAAAGGCATCAACATGTGAAAACAATGAAAATGGAAGTACATAGAAACTATATTTACAAACAAATAATACAATGTCCTAAATTTTATTTTTCGTATTTTTTCTTACTAAGCAAACACAGAGAAACGCAACAAAAGAGAAACCAAACCAGGCATAAATGAAAGGGAATTGGTCACATGCAAAACTGAGAAACATTTGCAAATGAAATAACAGGTTCAAAACAACACTAACATGTAATCAAAAATGAAAACTCAAATGTCAACAATTTATTAGATTTAGGTAAAAAAACAAAATCCCTAATCTGTAATCAGAATATAAATCAAATTTTTAAAAAACCCAGAAAAAATTCATCACAAAATATAATCTAACAAAAGTATAAATTAAAAGAAAAATGTAACAGATACAAGAATTGGGTAAAAGAAACTAACCTGAGAATCTAAAGAATTGATTGATATAATCAATGGGCAAGTTTCTTAAATGGGTGATAAGTAGAGCTCAGTTTTTATTTTTATAGATGGGATTTCAACCGTTGGCTTAGGATAAAAGGGTAATTATACCTAAATTCTTATGATATTTATAATATTATTATATTTATAAACTATATAAACAATATAATTTAAGAATAAATTAATTTAATTTAAAAATATTTCAATAATATTAGAATAATTTAAATTATTTATGTTAAGAACATATTACTATAATTTAAATCTATAATTTAAATATTAATATTATTATATAGGGCAGGATCTGATTATATTGTGTAAAACTCTTTTAGTTTATACCATTTTAAAACCAGTAGATGGGAGAAATTAAAGAGTGAAATTAATCGTGGAAAATGAAAAGATATTCACTAAAAAAATGAATTAATCTCAATCTTTGATTTATCTTAATCCAATGGCTCTAAAAATGTGACTAAAAGAGTTTTACATAGTATAAATGGATCCTAATCCTAATTATATTTAAAATTTATATTAATTAATTAATTTAATTTAAGAATAAATTATATAAAAATATTTAAATAATATTATAATAATTTAAATTAATTTAATTTAAGAATATATTAACATAATTTAAAATTATAATTTAAATATTAATATTATTATATGGGGGCAAAATCCAATTATAGTGTGTAAAACTCTTTATTTTTACATCATTTTAGGACCATTGAATGAAATAAATTAAAGACTAAGATTGACCATGGAAAATGAACAGATATTCACTATAAACGAATTAATCTCAACCCTTGATTTCTCTCAATCCAATGAGACTAAAAAGATGCAAACCTAAAAGAGTTTTACACAATATAAGTGGATCCTAATTCTTATTATATTTATAAATTAATTAATTTAAATTAAGAATAAATTAATTTAATTTTTGATATTTTAATTTAAATAAATAATATTATAGTAAATGTCGAGAATTTTCCTAATGTGAATGAAAAAGCAAAAATGCATAAGGCCAATAGATTGTGACACTTACATTTTCTTCAACTATGAGAGCTGAGAAACAGAGAACCAATTTGTCGCTCGATTCACAAAGATTCCTTTTCTTCCGCCTATTGACTTCTTCTCTTGTAGGATATTCCTTGTTGTGAACTGGCAAATGTCTACAAATGAAGCAATAACTTAATGAAATTTCCATGAGCATGAAAAGGTGAAGTTTGTAAAGAAACTAGAATAAACTGGATGAAACTTCAGCATACCCTCTTAAAACACTTGTTTTTCTACTTCCTTGAGATTCTGA